TTATCTTCTTTACCGGATAGTTGGTCAGGATCAGTCACGGCTATTAGTGGTTCAGCTGGAAACACCACACTCACGTTTGAGGGAATCCGTGATTTTATCTTAGGAGAAGACATCAGGAGAAAGAATACAGGTGAACCATCAAGTTCTCTGCTGAGCACTGAGGGAAGAGGTAGAAAGAAAGAGAGGAGAAACAGTTACATGGGAAGATCTAAGTCCAAAGGCAGGAGAGGGAGTTCAAAGACAAGAAGTGACATCAAGTGTTGGAACTGTGATGAGTACGGACACTTCAAAAATCAGTGCACGAAACCACCTAGCGACAAGAAAGAGGTGAATGCTGCCACAACCTCAGATTCTGACGATGTATTAATCTGCTGTGTAGAGGACACAGTCGAGTCCTGGATTATGGACTCAGGTGCGTCGTTTCATGCTATCTTTAGTTCGAGAAAGATGAAGAATCTCAGACAAGGCAACTTTGGTAGTGTAAGTCTTGCTAATAATCAAACACTGGATATTACTGGGGTGGGAGATATTGACTTAAAAACCAACTTGGGAACAATTTGGACATTGAAAGATGTCAGGGTAATTCCCAAATTGAGAAAGATGTTGATTTCCATTGGGCAATTGGACGACTAGGGGTATTGATGTACCCCTGGATGACTCCACCAAAATCCCAACTCTCCCAACATATCCAAAAGTCTTCTTTCTTTTCTTTTATTCAAATAAAGTCCTCCCCCACTAATTTCAAAGCCCTTGGCCGAAAATGAGAGAAAATAAAAGCCAAAACCTTTGTTTGTTTCTTTTAAAGTCCTTTTACCCAAATAATGTCTTTCCTCTTTTTTTTCCTACAACTAGGGACTAAAATCCCTTCCATTTTATCCATAAATCAGGCCCCTTTTTCAACTACTAACAAATGGAAATCACCTTTCTCACAATCAGGATAGAAGTCATAAAGTTGAAGAGTGAAAATTTGTCCTTTTGTTGACTTATTTCACATCCTTGCACCCATGATCTTTCCTTGTCATTTCTTACCATATAAGGCCAATACACCATCCATCACCCATCTTTGTTTGTCCCCTCTTTTTAGCCAGAATATCCACCACAATCATCAAAGGATTTCATTCATTCTTTGTGATTTTTGCCTCCACAACAGAACAGACAAAGCCAGCTCCAAAGCCAAGACAAAGTCAAACAAAATCAGCCCTTATCAACTCAAGATTGGAAGCTAGTGAATGATAAAGGGATGTAGGAAGGTTCCTTGTATTTGCATTCATTATATTGTGTGTTTTCCCTCCTCTCCCCTCCTTATATATTTCGGCCATTTGGCCCTTGTAAGGAACATCTCTGAATTATTAAAAAA